TATGGCGGAGACGCTACCGGCGGCTTGCGCCAATGGGTTTGTCAGGTTTAGGTTTGTATAATAAGGTTTATCTCAAAAGCAGATCGGGCAGTAGCATGTCGATGAAACCACCCTTTAAAACCAAGGCCCATAGAGCCATTTACTTTGCTAGATATGTTATGTTCCATCTATCAAATATGTTCAATAGGAAGACTGAGAAACGTCCGGTAAATAGAAAATAAAAAATAAAGAATAAAAAAAAAAAATAAAAAACGGTAAATAGATAAATCGTATTATTTCATTTATTGTACAGTTGCCTTTGGAATGCGTGGTTAGCCCCTTTTTGGGAGAAAAGAAACGGGAGGCTGAGCCGGTTGTCGTGAGCAGTGACGTTTATAATCGTCATAGCCGATAAGGCAGGTTTCTTTAGTGAACTCCCCATCTGATTTACGAACCAGGTTCCGTTGATAGCTACCTTGTCTGAGTACGTGAGTACGCATGAGCCGTATTTTAGTTCCTAGCTGAACGTGGCGCCTACCGTTGTCTTGCACTCGCCGATATTGAAATTCCTTGTTGGGCATGGGCGACTAAATTTCCGCCCTTGAAGTTCAGGATTTTACAATGGCGATAAACCGGGTAGACTGCTATTCTCTTATATACGATCTTAGGATTAGGAAATATTATAAAAAAAATGTAGAATCTCAGAATATTGAAAATCACTCATGCTAGATACTTATAATATTTCTAACAAACTAATTTTAATATTAATAGAGCCTATAAAGCTTTTTTTTTGAATTTAGTTACGTCGGCACCATCTAGAATGGCTGGACTTACAATATTAAATTTTTATAATTATTTTGTTTTTTCCCACGTGATTTTTAAATGTTTTTTTTTTAATCGTTTCTGTATTTGACAAAACTTAAAAGTAACAATAGAGTATCCCTAAGTCCTAGTCCTCTACGGTAATGCCGCTAGGGTTTGCTTCGCAGGGCCAGGGTTGACGTGAGTTAACGCCCAAAAATGCTGTGGGCTAAAGTTAACAAATGCTGCTCCACTAGCCTAGCCTCCTCCCGAATTCTTTTAAGCCGTCTCTGCTTCTTCATGGTAGAGGCTGCAAAGCTGCGCATGCCTACCCAGAACTGGGCGTTCTCCAGCAACTTCCTTCGAAGGAGTTCCGCCGTCGATATTTCCCCCAGGAATCTACGCCTGGGTACTATAAAGCGTGGGCAGTCCCAGACCACATGCTATGTCGTTTCGTCTACCCCGCAACTTGGATCATCATCATGGCCAAATTTGAACAGCCAGCTCCTGAAGCAACGGTGGCCGCTGATAATTTGCGTGAGTGGCCGTTTCCACCCGCATCTTGCTTCAAATCAGGACCGGCTCCGACTTGGAGTGGGCTAGGCTTAGCCCTCCCTGGTCGAGCCAATCGACGCCCCTTGAAATTGCAGCATTGCAGGAATTCTCGACTTTCTGGATGTTCTTGGCGACGACCAAGTCTAAGTCATATATTACGTTCTATAAGGCTGCGCCTATCAGCCTTCTGGTTCAAAGACACGCATGGGCTATCTTCGGGGACCACCAGGGCACCTGTTTATGGAGCCTTGAACGACCGCGGCTAGACCTCATGCTGAATTGGCAGGCCTGTTGAACCGCAGCCTTGGTATCCTGGACATCGTGTTGAGCGTCGCCCGAACGATCTGGAATCCTCAGTTCTTACGTGAAGATTTGGGGTTGCAGCGTCACCGGAGTAAACTTTAGTGGTTTCGCTCTTTTAGAGGTTTGCGCTAAATTCTCAATGTCGCAGATTATATGCTTATGTTCGCTCGCAGTATAGTCCTCACTGAGCTACTTCGCAGTGGTTGAGGTTTATCTGTATGAATCTCATTCCGCAGTGGTTGAGGTTTATCAGTATAAACCTCATACCCTTCTTTGTTTTTTGCTTCTGGTTTGCCAGTGTCTTGCTGCCAGCTACGTGGGCAAGCTGCCTCGTTCGTGGCACTGTGGCAGTGATGCTGGGCCATGTGCTCCTGAGCGCTCATTTGAGCTGAGAAAGCTGCCACTATTTCGTCCTAAATGATTAGGTCATCTCGGTCGCGGATCTCTAGGGTGGCCTCCTCAGTGACCAATCGCACGCTCGCCGACTCGCCTAGCACCTGGGATAGTGTCTGCCGCCGCTTGAGAGCGTCTGCATCCTTAGCTACCACCAGTTCCAGCAGGAGATCGGCTTTGGCTGACCTAGTTTAGCTTACCATCTGGCCTCCGTACGTGGATCCTGCATTTCCCTTTATGATGAGCACGTCGGGCGGCTATTCTGGGGCTGACTTAGCTTAACGTCCTTTTTTCCAGCTATTTTGTTTGCACTTATTGGTGGTGGCATCTCCGGTGGGCGTTCATCCTTACTCGCTCTGCGTCGCTTCCTCGACGTGTGAACTGTTGCTTACCGGCGCTTCCCGGCTGCATCCGCACCTAGCCCTTCCCTCCAGGTTTGGGACTCCTTCAACCTCGCGAAAGAGTTCTTCACTACCTGGTTTCTTACTTTTTGGTCGTTCACCTTTTCCAAAAGATCCTCCCATCTCGTCGAGGAGAGTTTGGGGAGTTTTGATTTTTTTTTCCTGTTGGGAGATGGCGGGGGCAGCTGGTCGCGATGCTTCTTCGGGGTGGGTTTGCTCGCCGTCTGCTTGGGAACTTGTACCTATTTCTGGGTCACCAGCCAAGTGCACCGCCGGTGGAGCATTTTTTTTTAATATAAGTTAGGGCCATCAGAATCCTTGCGTTGACCGCTGGGGTTTCCGCGGGTGGATTTCCACTACTGTGGATGCCACCTGGAGTAGTAATGTTTTTACTTTCCATTACGCATTTAATAGCATTTAATAACCCCTGCCAAGTAACATTAGTGCCGGCCAATGTGGCGTAGACGCAGACCACGCAGCTACCCAATGTGGGTCAGTTGCTGCGTGGATTTTTGATGGAGGAGAGGGACAAAGGAGAGGGGGAAGCTACGATGGGTTATCCGTCCGTGCTCGGTCGCTAGAGACCCGTTTAAAGCGTGTACTGAAACAGCGGTGAGGTTGCCATGAGGTCGGTCACATCCGCGACTTTTAATATCGTTCGCTTCGTCCACCACCCTCGCTTGGTGTCCTGCGCGGATGGTGCGGGCACCGCGCCTTGATGTATGCTCTTCTAAGCTCCAGGAAAAAAGAGAGCTTATACAGGCGCCCTCTGGCGGCGTGGGCTTACGCTCCCGCTGGATGAGCTAGCTGGCGCCCTCTAGCGGTGGGTTAGGTCCGTGGTGGACGTTCGTTTCCCAGCACTAAAGATAAGCTGTTATAGTGATTCACAGCCTCTACCAGCACGAAGTGTTTGCGTTTGCCAGGAATTCACTGCGTGAAAAAAAGAAGCGACAGGAAGAGAGTAGCGGAAAATACAAGAGAGGCACTGCTTACTTCTTTTGCCCCTGGCCTAAGAGCCTGGATAAGACAGAAGCCAACACCGTTTTAGTAACGCTCCCCCTTCAGCAGGTGAGCAATGCTTGCGCCTCGCAGTAGCCACCTGACGTCTTGTTTACACTTTTCGCACACAGCAAGACTGGATAAACAGAGGGACAGAGCACACAGAGGGACATGAGAATGCAGCCTTATTGGCGTAATCAACCGCGGCCGATACAGCCACAATATTTTGAAATCCGCCCCAAGCGAGGATATGAATTCTGGAGGAGCTGGGGCAGATTATCACCATGCTCTAGGGCTGCAACCCGCACCTTCCCACAACAGACTGGCGTATGGCGAAAGTTGACAGAGTCGCCAGCTGGAAAAGAGGCCACTCAGGGGGAGCTTAGCTTTTGTTTAAGCTTTGGTAATAGATGCACGAGTTTCAGCTCCAACCTCCATGAAAGAAATTAATTATAATCAAACATACAATCTTTTATTTTTAAAAATTTACGCGGCGTTTTAGGTGATTCCTGCACACTGTGCCTATTAAGTGTCAAGTGAGTTCACTTAAATAAAAACTTTTTTGATGGCTGCCGAATGAAAATAAATTTAAGCTTTAAAAAGTTTTTTTAGGTTAAATTATCTAAAAAAAAATTAACAAATACCGATTACCCCAATCAGAATGACCTATGCATTTCACGAAAAGCTCCCGGTGAGAAGCGTGGCGGGTTAACTAAAAAGAACCAGATAATGCATGGAATCTAACCGAATGGAGTATCAAACCGACAGTTGATCAAGCGAAAATATTATCGATAGAAACGGAGCTTTGATTTCCGTTGTTACAGGAAAAAACAAAGGTTAAATATAATTAGATTGCAAAAGTTAAAAAAAAAAACAAGAAAGGAAAGCTAACTTCGGTCGGAGCCGAAGTTGATATACCCTTGCAGTTAAAACCGGATATATATCGCAAACATCGGATATAGTTGGCCGATCCTAATGACATTTGGTAGGTTAGATGAACTGACCAAACCAAAACTAGAATCTGTACCAAGTTCCAGCTTTCTATCTTCAAAAACACAAAAGTTGGGTCAATTCCGATCCTTCAGTTATATGGCAGCTATAGGATATAGTCGCCCGATCCTTTTGAAATTCGGCACGTCGTATTATTTTGCTAAAAATAGCAAATTTGAACTCTCTAACTCTAAAAACACCAAAGTTATACCATTTCCGATCAATCAGTTATATGGCAGCTATAGGATATAGTCGACCGATCCCGGTCGTTCCGACTTATATACTGCGTGCAAAGAAAAGAAGGGTGTGTGCAAAGTTTCAAGTCGTTAGCTTTAAAACTTAAAGACTAGTTCGCGTAGAAACAGACAGACAGACAGACGGACAGACGGACAGACGGACAGAAGGACAGACGGACAGACGGACATGCTCATATCAACTCAGGAGGTGATCCTGATCAAGAATATATATACTTTATAGGATCGGAGATGTCTCCTTCACTGCGTTGCACACTTTTGGACAAAATTATAATACCCTCTGCAAGGGTAGAAAAACATTAAACGTTAAAGCTTATGTACTTACTGTCTAAGATTTCCTGCGATGACAACCTAGGTAGAGCCAAAAACTGATGGGAAGAAACAACAGATCTTAAAGTCTTGGTTGGTATATCGGACATAGATATACTTGTAACGTATCTCAAAGGATCCTCATTAAATATAAATAACGAATCCATGGTTCTGCTTATATTATATCGTGAAACTAACTCTTCTGCTCGTCCGTTGCTTATATCAATAAATCTAAAATAGAAGGTCTTTATTTTAAAAAAGTCGTATAGTAAATACAGTAAATAATACCAGTATATAATATAATACCTTACACAAAATGTTATAATTTTGAAATACAGTGGAGGAGACATCTCCGACTCTAGGCATATATATTCTTCATAATCCTGAGTTTATATAAGCATTTATATAAGCATTTTATTGTCTGTCCGTCGGTCTGTTTCTACAACCCAAATACATATCTATTCTTAGAAAATTTTGCTGCATACTTTTTTGTTATGGAACTAACATAATAAAATGTCTATATATTTAAATATGGATTTGACACGTTTTGTAGGAAAATAATCATATGAGTCCGAGTGCCATAATTATTCAACCTCTTATAGACTTTGAAATCCACACGCCTATTAAACAAGAGCCAATTTAGAGTTTGCCACCCACTGTTCTACACAAACTAGTCTTTCAATTTTATAGCTATCGAGTTAAAAGTGTGCACACAATCTTCTTTCCTTTACATGTATATATAAGTCTGAACAGCCAGGATCGATCGACAATACGCTATAGGAAGTCCATAAAACTGGTTGGTACTACATACCAAATTTCATAAGGATCGGCCGTATATATCCTATACCTGCCATATAGCGATCGGTAATGGTATTTGGTAAAAGTACAAACTTTAAATTAAGTTCAAATATTAATTTGAATTTGGTGATAAATTGAATTGTATTTTTTAGTTAAATTGTTAATTATTTCAATCTAGTATAAGATAGTTAGATCGCTCATGTGCGAATTTGCCAAGCTTGGTCGCAAGAGATAAGTTAGGCTTAAGATTAGAGCAAATATAGACCGAATTATAACGTTTAAGAGGGCACGTCTTGGCTTTCGTTTTCGTCATGTTTTCTATATTTAGCAGCCACCCTTATTTTTTGTTTTAGAGATAAAATAATCTCATTCAACATTTTGGCGCCCCCGTGTGGACCTTGGTCTAAATATTTAAAAATTAAAAAAATATTAAAAAAAAAATAGAACAAAAGTGACAGTGACACTGTTTTATTACACAAAAAATAAAAACAAACATTGAAACAAAAAAAAGAGCTGCTCGCGACGCGTCCGTGAAGTGCAACTTTAATAAGAACAAATTCACCGCGTAGTGCACTCAGGACAAGCCTAGGAAAGCCAAGGATCATCACCGCCAGGATTACCAGCGAGGTCCATGTCCTGAACCTGCATCGACTGCACGAGGAAAGGGGCAGCGGGATTTAAGGATCCTAAGACAGAACCGCAGTTATTTGTGCAAAAATTTGAAAGACATATTAAATCCACGTCCTGTGCTGAAATATTTTACCCTCCTTTCAAATCTTAGCGCTAACAATTTGAATAGCTTGAATAAAAATAACTAGCGAACTTCCTGTGAATAAAATTAATAAACATCAAAATACATATATCCACATTACTGTCGCCCCCCTTTTTACCTCTCATTCTATGTTCGTCAAAAAAAATAGTTAAATTTAGTGCCGCCAAACATTTATTTATATACAAATATATGTACATATATAATACATATTTACGTGCATAAATAATTTGGCATCCATACAATACATTCAACGGAAAAATTCTCGTTTTCGCTTCAACCGTTGTCCGCAGCTATATAGGTATGTATGTACATACATGTATGCATTAGTTTGGCGCATTTTATTTTAACGGAATGCCAAGTGACGCGCTACGTTACAAATTGGTTGGGGTAAACTTATTTTTGGGTGTCATTGGCAACGAACTATTTTTTTTGGATACTCAGTGCCTCGACTATCAACATTATTCGACTATCAATTAATTAATTAATTATTTCATCTTTTTCGCCATATTAATTAATTATTTTTCGTTTTCGCTAGATATTAAATTAAATATCTTTATTCGTTCGTTTTCGTTTTTTGAAGTTAATTTATTAATTAAATAATTAAAATAAAAAATTTAGATTAGTCAAAAATTTTTATTTTTACTAATTAACAAATAAATTAAAAAATTTTTATTTAAAAATAATAAACAAAATTTTAAATTTTTTTCGTCGTCTGTTAAAAAATAAATAAATTTTAAAATGGAAAGTAATAAACAGAAACTAAAATCCACGACTTTTGATGAATTAAGAAGAAGATTAAATGTCAGGGTAAAAAGCATTCGCCGGTTAGAGGAACGTTTGGAAGCTGGGTCAGTTCCTTTAGTGAAGACCGAGCTAGAGTGCAGGCTTCAGGTTTTAAATGAGACAATATTTAAGGCAAATGAGTTGCAAGACCAGATCGAGCAATTAGATGAGAAAGATGAATTTGGAGCCGAGTTGGAAGAATTAGAGATAACAACTAAGGCAAGGGTGATGTCTTTATTAAATGCCTTCACGTTAGCTGAAGAGTCCCCACCAGCTACTGCAATTTCTGCAGCCCCAACTCGAGCTCGACTTCCCAGTTTGGCATTGCCAAAATTCAGTGGAAACTATTCGGAGTTTAAAAATTTCATGAGTCTCTTGGAGACATTAGTAGACAAGGATGTAAACATTCCTGTTAACGAGAAATTTAACCATTTAATATCTTGCCTCTCTGGTGAAGCTTTAGAACAAGGCATTTAAAGTCACCGAGAGTAATTATGACAAAGCTATTGCAATACGATAACGAATATAAGTGAGTTTACGATAACGAATTCATTATCTTTGCGAACCAAATAAGCAAATTATTCAGCCTTCCGAAAGTTTCGAAGCCGTCTGCGTCGTCGTTGAGATGTCTCATCGACACAATGTCATCGATTTACGGGTCAATATTATCCGGGTCAATATTACGGGTCAATGATTTCGAAAAAATATTAAATCGTATGTACCAGCACCTGTCCGCTGAAGAGACTGGCAAGGTACAACAGGAAAAAACTGGTTTCGGGAAGAAGCACAAAAGAAGTTCGTTGGCTTGCTTCGCTTCCAACAAACAAGCTTGCAGTTATTGCAATGCATAAGACCATAGTCTTTCCCAGTGTAGCCCGTTCGCTTGCCTTGCTGTAATGCAACGGTTTGAGTTTGTTAAGTCAGCCTCATTATGTTTAAGGATGTAGTCTCATGTTACGGCCTACTTTTTAGAGGTTATATCAAAAAAATTTTTTTTGTAATAAAAAATAATGCCCATAGCCTAGTGGGTAGTGTAGCTGCACGCTAAGCGTTGGGTCGTGGGTTCGAACCCCACTCATGGCAATCATGACCTCCAAAGTTTTTCGGCTTCATTATGCTTAGTGGTCTCTTTTCCGATACTACTAAACATGTGAGGTTGAAAAACGGTATTCCCAGATATCGACAGGTGGCAGCCCCACCTCTGGGATAGGTTGCATCTGGCTAATCACCGGATCAACTGAAAAACAATTGATTAACGAAACTAATACAAGAAGAGAAGAAACCAACCACCCCCCCAACCCGTTGACGACCATTCGCATATCGAAACGGACACGAATTGGACAATGGAACGTGAGGACTTTAATGGAACCAACCAGACTGGCGCAGTTTGAAGGAGAAATGGAGAAAATGCAGATCGCAATCGCAGGCATCAGTGAGATGAGATGGAGAGGTAACGGGACAACAACAACATCAAGCGGCAATCTAGTGATGCACAGCGGGACCAATGATGGAGGCAGGAGCGGAGTCCGGATATATGTGTCCAAACAGTACAAACAGGCACTAATTTCCTGAAGCCCAGTATCCGACAGAATCATCATTGCCAGATTCCGATGCAATGCTAGACACATCACCATGACCTATACCCCAACAGAAGACGCCAGCGATGACATCAAAGACGACTTCTACAACGCCCTCACATCCTCACTCACTAGGATCGAAAGAGGTGACATAAAAATTCTCATGGGAGACTTCAATGCGAAAATCGGCCCCAACAACAACGGATTGGAAACAATCATGGGCCGACATGGTGTTGGCACACGCAGCAATAATGGTGACAGGCTAATCGACATATGTCAAACCTTCCAACTGGTTATTGGTGGCACTGTATTCCCCCACAAGGAAATCCATAAATACACATGGACCTCTCCGAATGGACATACTCGCAACCAAATCGACCACATCTGCATAAGTAGGAAATGGAGACGCTCGATGATGGATGTTAGGAATAGGAGAAGCGCGTCTATCGACAGTGACCAGGAGCTGATAATCGGAGAGCTTTTAATCAAGCTCAGACGAAATAGCAACACTGTCAACAGGACCACAAGAAGACCGCCTCCCATTAACGTACAACGGCTGAGTGACTCCAACCTATCCACCAGAATGGCCACAACGTTGCGTGAACAGATGACAGCACAACCGTTGAATCACTCATGAGAACAAACATGCAGTATACTGAGGAGCACCGCGGAGGAGATGCTTGGCACCCGACAACGCAGGCGCACGGATTGGATATCAGCGCACACTTGGGAACTTATCAGCAAACGGAACAGCCTAAAGTCGAAAGCAGATCATGACTGCAGAGCTCGCGACGAACACAAAGAGCTGTGCAAGATGGTGAAGAAGTCAGCAAAAAACGACAAAAGAAAATTTCTGGACAGGCTCGCTGAAAATGCAGAAAGCGCAGCCATCTCGAACAACATGCGCTCACTGTACCAGATAATTAGTCAACTGACCGGAAGCTGCCATAGGCGAACCCAACCAGTGCGGGACCCAGATGGAAGACTCCTTACTAATGATGAGGCACAACTCCAGAGATGGCGACAGCACTTTATGGAGATCAGCTGCACAGAACAATCGAGCAGCACGCAAGATAACTTCAGGAGTATTGTACCGAGCAATAACCTCAGAATATCACCCACGGCACCATCAATTAGAGAAATAAAAGATGCAATCAGGAAATTAAAACGCAACAAAGCGGCTGGAGATGACGGCATACCGGCCGAACTTCTCCAGATTAACACGCAACTAATGGCCGAAACACTGCATCCACATTTCAATAATATATGGGAAAGTGAGCGGATCCCAACATCCTGGAAAA